TTGCCACAGGAATGCAACCCGCGGTTACGGCCATGTTGAGTGTGGCCGTAAAGCGGGGACGTAGAGCGGGGAGAGGCCGCTCGGGGCCGCCATGTTTGGTGTGGCGCAGGCCGAGCCTTGCAGGACTCGGGCGGAGCCAAAGGAGATCCGCAGCGGAGACCTCCCCCGCCCTCTTTTCCTCGGACTCGAGCTGGGCCTTCTGGCAGCGCATTTCACCCTCGGCCAAAAACAAACAAACACAAAACACAAAAAAACAAGCAAGCCGGGGTGAGAGGGGAGCGGGGTGGACAAGGATGAACTCTAAGCCTAGCAATGGCAGCTTCTCGGAGTTTACGATGCTTCACCGATTGTGCCAATCATTCTTGACCCCCGTCAGTGTCAGAGTAATCGCAGCTCTGCGGCGGCGGCAGTGATCGTCACCGGCCGCTTTATTCGCATTCTGATCGGCACGCTCTCCGGCTAATGGCTTAAGACTCCAGAGCCAGGAACACGGAGATTCCCCCGTGGGGTGTTGGCATTGCTGTAACTCTGCTTTGAGACGCTCTCTGTGGTCAACATTGTCTTCTAGCATCGTTCTCCTCGGCTCCCCGTCTCCTGTCGTCCGTCGAGATGTGGCTGAAATGACAGCTCTGCCGCCAGGGAGGGCACCTCCCGCGAGGCGTGCACCGCGCACGAGCTCCCCGCCCTTCACTTCCGCCGCCTTCTGAAGTCCAGTCGCTGTTCACCCAGAGACTGCTTTCTCATTTTTAGGTATTTTGAGGGTTTTTAACGTGCATCTCTCCATACCCCAATAGGGCCTGGCACAATAGGTAGGACATTGTAGTTGCTCAATAAAGGCTTGTTGAGTAGATGGTATCAGTGAAAGCGAGCGATGGTAACGGCCCTGTCTTTGGAGAGCCTGTAGCTATGCCTGAGTAAGGAGCTAAGTGGACATACAGATATGCTGCACTTTTCTAAAATGTGTACTGCGTCTCCAGGAAGCTATGCTGGAGGGAAGAGCGGGAAATGCGGGTATCTCAATGGTGCAAGAGGTGGTAAGAAAAACAGCACAAGGAAAGAGTTTTCAGGGTTGCCTGTGTTATTGTACAGAATTTATATAACCACGTTATTAAGTATTATCACTTTTTTAAAAGGAAATGGGTTTTGAAAAGCTGTCATTTGTCCAATAGTATACCATCAGTAAAAGGTAGATATAAAATTTGAAGTCTCCCTTACTCCAAAACCCATTTATACTTTTCCACCCCCATGCTACCTCCTGGGTAACAGAGAAAACACCACGAGTTCCTGTCACTACCTGGGGAGCAATGTTACCCTCATATCAGCCTATGCACAGTTTCCACCTCTTCTACCTTGTGCTGATCCCTGCCCTCTCGCTCACCTCCCAAATGCCTCAAAGACATCAACCTCTCCCCTTTTCAACATCCCATTAGTCTTATTTTTATACCCTACAGATTGGCTCTTGAGTATGTTAAATTTTGTCCTATTTGCCCATAGTTTCATGAGAGCGATTAATCTCTGAAACAAGATTAGACGCTTCATGAGAAAAGTTTGTCACCTTTCCAGTAGTTTCTACAGCACATAGCAGGTGTTTAATATGGTTCCCCCTTTTCTCCTACTTCTTAGTAGACACCAAGATTGGATTTTTCTGCAATTCATAGTCTTTATTGATTACTATGTCTTTGACTCTCAACTTTCTTTGTGTAACTGGATCTTGGCCCCAAACTTTAGACTAAACTGTCCAATTTTCTATTACCCACCTCTACATAGATACGGAAGTCACCAGCACCTCCAGCTCCCAAATTAAGTTTATCGTTTTCCCTCTCCTAATCTCACAAAGCTAGCTTCTCTTCCTGCCCTGCTTTTCGGTTAATGGCCATTGCCGAAAACCCTTCTGAGAACTGAGAGGCTCAAAAGTTTAGAAATATTCTAGTACATTGTTCTCTATGCCTTGCTCCTACCTAATCAGATATTAAGTCTCTAAGTACCATTGACATATATTTCTTATATCTACAGTAGTCCCCTCTTATCTACGGGGGATATGTTCCAAGACCTTCAAGTGGATGCCTGAAACCATAGATAGTACCAAACTCTCTCTATATATATACTATGTTTTTTCTTATACTTACATACCTAAGATAAAGTTCAATTTGAAAATTAGGCACAGTAATAGTGATGGGGAAAATGAGACATTTTGGGGGGGGCTAGCAATATGAATCTGTGCCAGTAACCTAATACACATTCTTGTTAGCCTATAGTCTACTCACTGCCCCTTTAATTATCTGGTCTTGCAAGACTTGTTTACCTAAGTACTACTCCCATTTTACAGAGGCCATAAACCATGAACAATACACAACCCCCAGATGGAGTTATCAGCACTGGCGCCAGGCCAGGCCTTTAAATGTGGTCTCACAGCCCCTACCCCAACACACAGGGCTTTTTGCAAAGCCCACAAAAGGTCCAGAGGTATGATCCATATTTGGGGGACAAAGAAACTAAAGGGGTATAAAGGGAAAGCTTCCTCCATAATGGCTTGTTCAGGATTTGGAGAGAAACAGCCTCCCCTAGTACATGAGAAACATCTGAAAATAAATGGGTTTTTCCTGTACTCCTGCGTATTTTTCCATCGCCTGGTAAATTCTGTAACAATAGATTACCAACAATAACTAATCATAAAAATAACAATTATAACAATAAAATAAGGGTTACTTGAACACAAGCACTACAATATCACAATGCCATGACAGTCTATCTGATAACCAAGACAGCTACTAAGAGACTGACAGCATGGGTACACTGGACAAAGGGATGATTCCTGTCCCCCACGGGATAGAAGGGGTCTGCACAAGATTTCATCATACTACTCAGAATGGTGTTCGATTTAAAACTTATGAATTGCTAATTCTGCAATTTTTCCATTTAACGTTTTCAGAAGGGGTTTGTCCATGGGTCACTAAAACCACAGAAAGTGAAACCTTGGTTAATGGGGTTGGGGGACTACTGTACTCCCCTTTTGTCCAGTTGCAGCACTGCCCTTCTTATTGAAGCTCTCATTCTTACTGCCCAAATGATTGCAGTTGTCTTCCCAGAGTTCAGCTTGAGTTTTGTCCTTGCCCTCCTCTACCTGACAAGGTAAATAAAAATTCTTCACCCCAGTCATCAAGGCCCTTCTCTATATGGCACCAGCCTAACCTTCTATCTCCCTGAAGTAATGCAGCACACACAAAAATAGAAAGGGCAGAAAGGTGGTGTCAGGAAGAAGGAAGACTCCAATTCAAATTGTGGTTCTGTCACTCACTTGCCCTATGACCCCTGAAAACCTTCATTTTATTATCTATAAATCAAGGCCAATTAATGTCTACCCTGTAGGGTTGTCTTAAAAATGATGTGTCAAGAACCTGGCACATAAAAGATAGAAATAAACAGTGCCTATTATTACTTGCCTAATTGGATGTTACATTTGAGCCGAACTGGATCCCAGACACAGCCTGCTCATTCCTGCCTCTAGAACTTCATTCCCTATGCTGAACTACAGTATCACCCTGGTTTTCCATTCCCGCCACACTCTTGAAGTACCCACTCAAAAACTGCCTACACAGCAAAATTCCATGACTGCTCATACTTAGTAGGTGCTCTTACACCCCTGAACTCCACAATGCTGTGTACCTCCCTTGGAGCTGGATCTACTATTGATGGCTCTGTGTTTCTCTTCCACTTCCTGTCACATGAGACTGTGAAAGCCTTTTGTCTCCTTCCGAGTGCATTATAAGCATGAACTCTGGACCAAATAAAATAACTTTGATCGAGGTATTTAACCTCTTTGTGCCTCAGTTTCCACATCTGTACAGTGAAGATTACAATAGTACCCATTCCATAGGGTTTTGTGAGGATTAAAAGAAACAACACCTGTAAAGGAAATAGCATGGTACTTGGCACAAAAATTTTAGTTATTCGTACTATTTTTTTTAAATACAGTGGGGCCTTGACTTACGAGTTTAATTCGTTCCATGACGGAGCTCGTAACTCAAATTACTCGTATGTCAAATCAACAGTGAACGAGTGAGACACGTGATGCTGGGCTGATGTTGTGGCGTTCACTGTGACGTTCGCTGCGCCAACTAGCGGTGGGGTATCTGAAGCTGGCTCGTAACCCGAATTTTAGCTCGCAACTCAAAGCAAAAAATCGGCCGAGAGCATGATACTTGGCACAAAAATTTTAGTTATTGGTACTATTTTTTTTTTAAATAAACTGAATAGGCACCTTGCATAAACTAGGCACTCAACTCAATATTTGTTAAATTGAATTGAATGTTTGTTGAATTTAATTAAACCTTGGGAATAGCAACATGTTTTCTCTCCTGAGAATGTGAAATTTGACATTGATCTCTAGACATAACAAATTGAGAAATGGAGTGATACAGCTATCGTGTTGCAATGATGTCACTCACTGTTTGAGGCTAATTAAATAAAATTATGTGTCAGGATTGGCTGAAGACATTTCTCTGGAAATGTCAAGCCTAAATGCCAAATCCGATCTGTAATCCTGTCCACTACCTTTTCAACAATAAATTCAGCCATTCAGATCACAAACCTAATAAAGTATGCAATTCTAGCAAACTATGGGAACACCAAATTTAGGGTTGAGTTTTCTGGTTATTTTCTTTTTCTAGATTCAGTCTTTCAGCTTAGTTTTGAACTTTTTCTAGAGTCTTTGGTGTTCTGATGTGCAGAACTATGGAAAAACTAAAATTTATCCATAAGAATGTTCTTTGACAAGAAAAACAGAAACAGTCATTTATCTTCATATATAGAAATATGTGTGTGTGAGAGAGTGTGCATGAGCATCCAAGCCAAGGAAATATTGGACAAGTCTATGTGACGTTAAACCCAGAGAGCAAAAGAAGAATGGAAATCTCTATGAAGGAAGCCTTTACCCATATTTTACTGTAACCGCCTAGTTAATTGGAATTTTTGAGTGAGGTCCTATGACAAACTGACAGCAACAACCAGAGTAAGTTGTGAGACAGGCCTCTAAGAACCACATTTTCAACGGAGTCATCTGAGACCAGTTACTGATTCTTGGGCCCCTCACACCAGACCCTTCCACTTGGTCACTGACATGAAAGGATTGAGAGACTGTAGATTCAGAAGATTTGAGAGGAAGTGTTTTTGGAGGGAACAGACAGTGGGGTTCAGAGGTAGCTTCTACCTTATCTCAAGCCAGCAATAGGGGCTTTCCATGGAGCGCGCAGTATGTGTCCTCAAACCTAGAAGCCAGAGTCTGGCTTCAGGCCTGAAAAAGGTACAGCATTCTCGGCATAGAGTAGAGGTTGGTGCCCCCCACGCTTGTGTTTCTGGCCCAAAAGCGGTGTCAGAGACTCCCCAAGACCAGAGGTGGGACCTGAAGTAGGACCCTATGTAGATAGTATTCTGCTATATGAGTTAAGAAAAGGCCGGGAGATATATGCTATTTGCTTGTACATCATAACTATCTCCGCAGGGATGCAGAAGAGAATGCTAACACTGGCTGCCTATTAGGAAGAAAACTGATGATCAGGAGTGAGAGGGAGATTTGTCTGGTGGATTCTTTTGTACCTTTAAAATTTTGAACCATGTGAATATACTATCCATTCCAAAAATAAATATTTTTAAAATAAAGAATAGGAAATTTTCTTTTAAAAATTAATTAAAATGGAAGGAATTGAAGAACTCCTCCCAAAAGGGTGGCGTGCCAGGATTAATGGAACTCAGAATGAAGAATATTTGGTTGAAGGCAGATGAGGGGACATTGGGAGTAGCCAACAGGAGGGGCAAGGCACACATCCAGGAGTTGCAGATGCACAGGCCAGGC